AAGTAAACTTGTTTTGAGTGTCTTCTGTCTCATGTAGTAGTCACAATGCCAAGAAGGCAATATTATTAGTTTTTAGGCTTTGGTTTAAGGTATATTGATGCTTCACCTCTTACCTTAAATATACTTCAAATTTTTCCATGACTTCCCTTAGCTAACCATCCACAATGATTTCTTTTTCAAGGAAAACTTCTTTTGCACTTGATGCAATAACCTTCTACCACTGAAGCCCTTACAGAATGCTAATCTTTTCTCTTAATGACTTCAAAATCATCTCTTACGATCCTTTACCCACGACTTTTTATGAGCGAGTAGCTCTCTGCTCTGGGAATGTCATCTCCATTACTAACTGTAAAAAGTGGTGCTTATGTATCCCACACCAATAGTGAAACACAATCAAATAAGAAATAGTGGCTAGATATTAGACACTGAGCACAGCAAAATGGGCACACTGAATCTTCAGTAATTGTCAGAAGAACACAGCTTATTGAGAAGAGATCCAATTTCGCCAGAACACAAAATTTTAATTTATAATTTAGCACTAAGGAGAAAGAGAAAAGGCAGCTTAACATACACTCCCAATGATAAGGCACCCTATGTTCCCATGGTTGGTAAAGGTATTATACTGAAATACAATTTGAATGTTCATGCAGTACATCAGTACTCACACATTCAACCCTACATATACATGAAGAAGTGCCATCCATGTTACATTGTTGATGTTCTAGTTACCAGTTCCTAAAAGTTGAGTGCTCATTAGATTGAAAAAGTCCTCTAATTTGTGATTTTCTGGTTTTGCATCTCAATTTCTCTAGTGGGGGTACTTGTATCGCACCCATTACAAGACCCCTCTGCAATATATTTGCCCAAATCAGTGCACTCGAACTCCAGCAGAAATTATCCAACAGCGTGAGCCAGCTTGGAATAAAAGTCTGCCTTGCTGTGAAAGAAGACATTACTCCACCAGAACTATCACTCTCATTGCTTTTATCTTCTCTTTATTTATTTTTTAATGGAAGTAAAAACCCCTGTCATCTCACCTACTCTTTTAATAAGGAATGACTGCCGTGACTACCCCCATCTAGAACCACCATTCACTGCCAGCACCTCTGCTCTCCTCATGTGCTTAGAGAACAACTGATTAGCACTTTGCATAATTAACCTGATTAGCACTGTGCATAATCAAACTGATTAGCACTTTGCATAATTAAAAAGAAATAATAATAATAACAATAATAAGCAGTAGGTAATAGCAAAAGCTGCTAGTCCCATTGCCTGTTCGTTAGCTCTAGGAATAGTTTACTGTGGCATACATTATTTCTTAGAACTTTTTTTTTCTTTAAGAGGCACAAGCTCTTGAGGAATACAAGTTAAAAAATTATCATTTATTTTCAGATCGTCAGTGAAAATGCTGGTCGTTCCACATCACAACTTCAGATTCCTTGTAGCTCTCTGTGCTACTGCTGAAGACATGTAATAGGAGGACCACAGAATTGCAGGGATTGAAAGGGATCTTTAGAGATTATAGAATCCAGCCCCGCTGCTAAAGCAGTATTCCCTATGGCTTGCACACGAGGGCGTCCAGACAGGTCCTGAATATCTCCATGGAAGGAGACTCTAACATCTCTCTGAGCAGCCTATGCAGTGCTCTGCCACTCTGACAGTAAAGTTCTTCCTTGTGCTTATACGGAACTTCCTGTGTCTGTGTTTGTGCCTGTTGCCCCTTATTCTGTTGTTGCTTGCCACTGAAGAGTCCACTCCTATTGACTTGACTCCCTCATTGTAGATAACAAGATCCCCTTCCTGTCTTCCCTTCTCCAGTCTGAAGAGTCCAAGGTGTCTCATGCCTTCCTCACATGGGAGATGCTCCAGGCCCTTAATCATCTTTATTACCCTCCACTGGACTGTTTCTAGGAGATCCCTGTCCTTTTTGAACTGGAGAGCACAGAACTGGACGCATAACTCCAGATGTGGTCTCACCAGAGCAGAGGGCAAAGATCACCTCCCTCAAAGTGCTGGCTCCACCTTTTCAACATGTCTCAGGATACCATATATCCCCACAATATATTTTGAATGCAGAAGCCTGTATTACCCTTATTATCAAGATGGGCAAGGTAGAGACGTATCCTAGGAAGTAGGAAGTATCCATAGTCATCAAACAGAGGAAGTCTGGAGAGGAACATGGAGTTAATCATACTGCTGCACCTAATCCTGCATTGTTCTTCCCCTGTACGAACATGTTCTTGTCTGCCTAGGTGTTTTGAGCTCTTCTTGAGGAATCTACTTGTGGGAGACAAAGTACTGTCTTCGACAGCTAGCCTGTCCTGCCTTCAGTAGGAATATCCTTGGTTAGTGTCTCAGAATACAGGTTTTCAGATTCTGAGAGGCAGCTGAAGTTACATGTATAAACTGCAAACTGTGTCAAAACATCTGTGTTAAATGTCTGCATTACTAGTGACTCAGCTCTAGGTTGCTTCCAGATAACCTAGAACAGCAGTGTCCCAAGTGAGCAAATCGTTAACATTTTCTGTTTGCTGATGCTACCTCATACCTCTCTCTCACCACTATGCCATGTGTCTTGACATACTTTATTAACTTTATCTTTCTCTAGCACCTTCATATTAAAGCTCAGATTCTTCTTGCACTCCCATCCTCACCTTACATCTCCTGTCTAGATTATTGGATAGTCCCTATCCAAGAATACCATGCATATTGAAGAATAACTTGAACAGAATGAAGGTATCCTTCTTCCGTATGTGAAATATTCATTGCCAATCTTCCACAGTATCCTTACAATGATGCTGTCTACACTTCCACATCAGACAGAAGACTCACAATGTGGTCTCTCTGCTGGTAGCTCAACAGATACAGTTTGGACAAGGGGTAAACAGAGAGTAAAGCTCTGAGTGATCAGTTCATCTGCACTGCAGCTGCTTGGACAGGAACTGCTGCCTCTGGACTAAAATGCGGCCCAGATGCACTCCACTGCACGGACCTGTTCTAGAACAATGAAAAAAATCCCTATTGAGATACATTTTTTTTCATAAATATTCTCTCATAAAATAAATCAATAAGAAAGTGGACGGAGAGAGTAATAAAAGAGCATCTTGTCATAATTAACTGGAAATGTATTGCTCATGCAGAGGAGTCACTCCCCTCTCTCATTTCATCACCCCAAACAACAGATCCAATATGAACAGCTAAGGGTGCAGAGCTAGTCCCTCATTTCACAAGTTGTTTAGTTTTCGAAGAAAAGTGTTTCTGTAGAGATTTTTCAAGTCCAAATGTTCCTGGGGAAGGTAGTTCCAGTAATTCTGGGAAGAAAGCCAATCTCTTGGCTTTATATGTAAATATTTAAACAACATTATTTTTATATACTTACATTTTATACACATATACATATATGTCTTAAGGCTTCCAGACTTGCAAAAATGCAACTGAAAAAAGATGCCCGAAGTACAGGTATTGGCTCCCCATCCTGAATCATGACAACTGACCATCAGAAACAAACAAACAAAAAAAATAATGACTTCATAATAATTGAGCCATGTCATCTATGCACGCTATTCTCTCCAGACAGAACTGACAGATCAGAACTACAGATCCTAAGGTACAGAGATTAAAGTCTTAATTATTTTCTCCTTAGAAGTGGTAAGGTTCATCAATTATAAATCTTTCAGAGCATAGATGGATGCTGAGTGCTCCACCCATAGGCGTGGGATCTGATCTCCAGCCTTTGAGGACATGTTCCTGGCACTTTAGTGCTCCAGGATGCAGCTTTGTCACATTCAGAAAAGTCACTCTACTTTAGGCTTGAATCAGGTCCATATTTAAAAAGGAATTACTTGGTAGGAAATTCTAGCAAAAGACTGGAAACATACCCAACATTGAGGTTCAGTGAACAAAGTTAAGGAAAAAAAAAAAAAGAGAGGGGCTTATAAAATTGATGTAGATGATTTAGAGAGCATAATGTACACAGCCAAGGCATATAATGAATAAATCAATCCATGAGAGTAAAATTTACCACATGGATTCCACCTGTATAGACTCAGAAATCAGAAACACACCTTAACACAAAGTACATGCATGTAAATTCATAGCTATACGGTTTAAAGTAACCATAAACACTATTTATGAATACAGTATTTACATATCATTTCAAATACGTACGTATACACACAGCACAGCCATGTGAGTTCTATGGAAAAGGCCGCAGAAGTATACACACATACACACATAAAAATGCATAGAAGAAAGGACCAAGAATAGGGCAAGTCTTAGAAAATGTTTTAATGGTTTTACAAAAAGCCTTCACCCAAAGTTTGAGGGGGTTTTGCAATCTTACATTTTCTATTGCAAAATACACCTGCTTTCTTTTCTTTCTTTTTTCCCCCCTAAACTAAATATTTCTTCCATCTAATGACTCTCTTTATTAGACAGCATCTAATTTGCATACATTTACATACAATTTAACTGCTAGCTTGTGAGAACAAAGAAATGGCTCTGTATTGTACTGAAGGACAATACTCAGAAAAGGAAGGTATAAAAACCAGCTAGCTCGGTGGCTGTGTATTCTCTTTGTTTCAGAAATACCAGGATTTTTAAACACACCACTTAAAGGGTAAGAAAAGATTATTTCATCAAACAATGAAAAAAGATACAGCACAGCTCTCTTTTAACACATTCTCTCTCTGGCCTGGTTAATGGGATTTAAGGGTCCAAGATTTCTTTGCTTTCTTCTGTTTCCTTTATTAGAACTGATGGATTTAATTCTGTCACATATTTTACTTCATATTTTATTCCTATAACAATCTATGCTGAAGTTCAGCTCCAATGCTAATTCAATACTATCTTCCTTTCCTACAGTCAGCCTGGAACAGGACTGAATGATCACTGATGGGCTTGAAGTAGTCTGCCCTCAATGCCCAGTGCTAATGGATTTTAGAGTGAGTCTGCCAGAATTTTACCTTGTGGCAACAAGTACTGGGATAATGAAAACTTACCATGTAGCTGTCTGGGAATCAAGAGGAAGGGAAGCAGGGCTTAGCTCCACTTGTGAGAACAGGGAGGGACTGTGGTCAGAGTAAATGGAAGATGCAAGGGATGTGTCAAGCCCTCTAGTTCCCTACAAGAAGAGAAGAAAAGGATCTTTAAGATCTCACAAATGCAAAAGACAAAAAGTTTTAGAAACACTTGGCAGAAGCTCCAATACAAGCCCATCAAAAGCACGATACATCAGCAAAAGCTTTTTCTCCAAAGACTTTGCAGTTGGAGAAAAAAACTGCAGAGAACGGCTGCAGTTCTAATCCACGTGCAAGTGACACAAAAGTGCTGCAAGAAAAAAAAAAAAGTAGGATTGCAAGCTGCGTGCTGCACATTCCCATTTCCCATCAAATGTGCGAAACCTAGAGATGCAGAACCGCCTGCCATTTGTTGCTGCCTGCGTAGCAGAGCTGCTGGCTTCATCACCTCACTGTGATACCACCCAAGGTGTGCTATTTTGCATTCAGCGATCATCTGCTCGGTTCTGCTCACCACAGCCACACTGGCTGTGCAGGCCAGGCAGCGGGCCCAGGGTTGGGGTGACCGGCCTTCTCACAGAGGCCTCGCGGCGCAGGAACACTGGCAGGAGATCTGCACTGCAAGCTGTACCTAGAGGAAGCTTGCGCTAGCGCTTCCCTGATGTACCTCACTGGCACTCAAAATACATTATAGATTACTTGCAGACACAAATTTTAATTTAAAGCTGGTTGAAATGTTAATGAAGTTGTAGCTGTTTTTCAAAGGGGAGAATTCCCTACTGTTTACAAAAATGTTTTCTTCCCTTTTTCCCCCCTCCTGTCTGTTCAGCTTCTAATGGTGTACAGCAACCAAACCTCATAAAAGAAATTAATCAAGCCTTCACATGTTCCCTTTTCCAAGGATAGAAAGGTTGAGGTGTCATCTTCAGAGTTCATCATGCATACCAAAACACAGGTTTTAGCAAACAGTGAAGAAAGTAAATTTCAAAGCCAAAGTTCATTTAGCTGTCACATACCCTATTTACAGCTTATGCTGCTGACACCACTGGGTTACTATTTCCAGTATCGTACCAATTTCAGTTAATTTAAATTGCTCCAACAATCCTTCCCTTCTCTTGCCTCTTTCCTCTGACACACATGCCTGACCTCATCCTTGAGCCAGAATCAGATAATTTTCTGGTCCAGAAAACTTTCAACCGAATGAAATTTATTTTTTTTCTTTTTTCCTTCTTTCTTTTTTTTTTTTTCCCAGACAATTCAACTTCCAGTCACAAAATTCTGGGGCTACAGCTAAGGAGTCTGCAAAAATGTACACGTAAAGGGACATCAAAAGAGAGGCTTCAACATCAGTCAATTTAAGCTTCCATGAACCTACCTCTTGAGATGCCTCGGACTGCTTTGGTAAAAAGAAAGGTTCCTATCACATCGCTGAAAACCAAAGCAATCATGGTTTTACAGGTTTAAAGAAAAGCCATCACCTCACATGCTAACCTAAAATAAACTGACGGGCTATACAGATCATGCAGAACAGACACACTCTGCTTTGATGAAAAATAGCTTGAGATAATGGTGCACTGCTACAATCTGCACCAGGGGCAATTTCCAAGTGGCAGATTGAATTAGCCTCAAGTGACATGCATTACAGTAATGCTTCCCTGAGGCAATAAGGCAAGGTCCCACATTGAAAAGGAAAGAATGGAGCTTTCTTGCCGAAGGCAAATGATAAAGCGCACGATTAAGAGCCACTGTTACCAGGACATTCAGAAGCTCCTGAAAATCCTTCAAGGACTTCAGAAAATACATTTGGATATAAAGAGCAGGACTTTTCTTTTACATCTCTGCAGTTACGATATTAAGTATCCCTTTTGCTATTTTTTCCCAAAGTACATGCATTAATTCTGGCCAGAGTGGAATCTAAGCTTTCTAACCACCACCATTTCCAAAGTCACTCCGTCCTACCAGTTGTTCAGGAAGTTGCATGATACAACTCTGGGTTTCAGATGAATACAGAGGACACTGCAGTCCAAATCTCTTATTTCAGTTTGCTTGCTCTAAGGATAACAGACAATTTGGAGCATTTAATCTCTACACTAGAGAGATCCTATAGCAGTAAATAATCACCCAGCACCATCATCTACAATTTCTTCAGGAGAAGGAGTCACTAATAAACAGCTTCACCGGTCAGTTAACAACCATAGAGGATGCACTGTAACTGGAAGTCACAGTAGCTCAGAAAATTAAAAGAGTCAGTGTGGACACCTGATAGTCATCAGCTCAACAGCCATAGCTGTCTCCTTACGTTTTGCATTAGACCTCACGGGTGGGATTATCAAAAAGGAGCAATAGCATGATTTTCTTTTCACTAGAATTATGGGGAAATGGTTCTAGTAGAATCTATCAGCAGAACGTTCAGACCCATGCCAAATGTTTTTGAAAATCCTCCCCCTTCCCAGCCTGCGTAGAAAATGGGGAAAAACAGAACAGCACAAAGAATTCCACCAGCTTGTGCCTGGGTAGCAACAAGTTGCAGCTTGTACAATTCTGTCAAGTTAAAGATGCTGAGAATTCCCTTCTAAATACAAACAATATTTCTGAAGCTAGCAAATTCTTTCAAGCATTCACTTTGATTTGATAAATTATATTAAATACAATTCGCCTCGTCAGTATTTTAAAACATGATAGCTAGAGCATGAATAGGTCATTTTTATACACGTAACTAAAATCTATCCAGTCGTGTATACAGCGCAGATTATGTATGCAGGCCCACACTCCCCGAGATAACAAAATTACTCAGCTTGCAAACCAAGCCAGTCACAAACTGCGTAGTCGCAGATAGTGAAGTCGAGCCCGAGCCAATCAGTCCTGCTAAGCAGCTGCTATCTCAGTTGCTCATTAGTTCACCAGCACACTAACCACGACCAAAGGTTTCAGATTGGCTCGCAGCACGCACAGAGCAATACCGGGACTGCTTTCAAAACACTGCAGAAATGCAACCACACGTGAATGCTATCAAAGTGAGGGGGTAGGAGAGAAACTCATTTTCGTAAAAAGATTTAAAAAAAAAAAAAACAACAAAACCCTGAAGAGAAAGCCCTTACTCTTGAATACAGTAACAGAATTGTGCTGTTTAGTGTCAGAATGCTAAGTTCTATTTTCAATGGGAAAAAGTGTATAATCATCTTCCTGATTTGGATAGGTTTTAGGTCAACCTTAGCTACATATAAATGAATGTTCTGCTCAAATTACAGGGTAATTTTAATTAGGACACCTTGTTAGACATCCTGTTGTTTTCTGTAATGGACTTTCTCAATTATGAGAAGGAACACCTCTCCATTCACCTGTGACTCAACTTAAGGTAAAGATTATGCTGAATAAATATACAAAGAAAAATATTTATCCTGCAATAGATATCTTTATTTCTGTTGATCTTTATTTGGCAACTTCCATATTAAAAAGGCAGGCTCCAGAATTCAGCACCCATTACACACCTGTTTAAAAACCACTTGAAGCACCGGAACCAGCCAAATGCATCTCAATTCCGCAGAAACGTTGGCACTGTTGTCCCAAGTAAGGAACACCCATTGCCATTTGCTCTCATTAGGTTAAACAAGTTTCCTGGGACATATTGAATTCTTGATCGTGTGCATTGCAAATAGAGAGCAACAGAACAATAAAATTCAGCTCAGCACAGCCTTCTGTCCAGTCGTCAAGCACAGCGTATGGGGAGAACGAAGCTCTGGGAAGTGCCCAGGAGCTGTGTGCAGCACACGTTACAGTTCACTCTTCTGGCAAGAACCTGCTTGGTTGACATGACTGAGAGATACAGGCTAGGATTCCTTCTCAAAAACAGTCAGTGAGATTAAGAGCCGACTCTCTGTTCCCAAGCACTTCTTTGTCTGTACTTGAAATTACTTTATCTTACATGATTTTATTTGTTAGTCAGAATCATGATATGTTAGTTTCTATATTCAATTCGGTGTTAAATCCGTCACTGATTGCTTGATTTCGTAGGAGTTTGCTGATGGAATGACAAGCCCAGAAAACAAAATCTTTGTACATAGATCAGACAGGGTACTGCAAGCTTCAAAATATTTTTGTCAACTTATTTTAAGTGTCTTCCAGAGGGACCAACCACATGGCTAACAGAAGAATCTTGTCTCTGTCATCCATTTAACCCACTGGCCTCTGTCAAGGATGCAGACATGCTTGCCAGTAAGTGACAAGTCGAGTGGTCTTCTTCCAAAAACTCAACAATACATTTCAGGGTGGTGCCATTAGAAAGCCAATAGACAGAATCAAAGCAGAGTAGTAGTGATTAAGAACTAAGTCTGGAATAGTTCTAATATCCATGCTCAATCCTCTATAATCCCACTTCATTATCAATTTATTAACTTCCTTTGTTGTCCTTTCTGTCATCCAACTGTGCTAGTCACTAATATATCTTAATTTTGAAAGTGCTCTACACCATGAACGCAAAAAGTAAGCATCCTACACACAAGATTGATCAGCTAACTGTATCCAAGTAAAGGATGTACAATCTCTAAACTAAAAACTTAAAATTAAAGATATAAGATAGTTCAGCACTGTAAACACTACTTAGTTTGTAACTCACGTGTCTAGGATGTTAGTAGGCTGGGGAAAAAAAAAAATATTAAACACTTTTCATCTTTGCCATGCAGATTTCATATGAACATAAAAACTGTTTATTTTCTTGTACTATTTGTCCTTAATGTAGAATTCACAATTATTTAGTGTCTACAACAGTAAATAAGTATTAATACATGAAATAAAGTGTTTTGGGAATAAGGTATCAGCTATCAATAGCTACTGACCTAAAATCATATTTATTTTCAAGACAATTGTAGGAGTGGAAGAAGCTTTTCTGTTCTGCCTAGTTGTGAAAGGTACCAAGAAATCCTAAGACAGCTGCTTGCACGTTCAGCCTTTGCATGTGTTGGTTTGTTTTTTTTTTTTTTGTATTTGTTAATTTTTGTTACCAATAAAATATATTTTTTTCATTGAAACAATACTTTCTGATTTTCTATTGTGCTTTACATGCAAATCCATGGGTGCTGTATCTCAAGAACAGCTTCCCTTCCACACT